ATTGATTCAATTTTATTTGTTTTCATGCCCCTGAGTTCTTTAGTCTTAATATGATCTGGAATGTACAGTGCAACTCCCCCACCCCTTTTTGACATAGCCCTGTCTCGCCTGTATAATATATAATTAGGCAAGGATAGCGATTGAGTGGATATGTTTTTAGTTAGCCATGTTTCAGTTAAACCAATCACTGTATTATTAAGACCTTTTAATGTGTCCTTTAGTTTTTCATGTTTTTTAACCAAGCTTTGAATGTTTCTGTGCATGAATTTGATATTTTTGGTGTATGATGACAGATATGTTTGTAGGCCCTATATCGTGTGCTGCATTCATTTGCTTGTGTTCTGGTCCGGGGTTTTGTTCTAGCCCTGCGATAACTAATAATAGCTGGGTAACCATGAGTAAGAAATGAATATTAAGCTCAGATATGGCATCTTGCATAAGTAGTAAACAGTTATCTGAAATATAATACTGAACATAGACATGAGCATATTTTAGAGAAGTTAATGTACCTGTGGTCCTGTTGGTGGCCATACTTGGTGTGCTGGGAAGCAGTAGTTCAGTAGATGGCGTATGGTCTCTTGGAAGTATGCTTTTGCGTCACTCCTCTTTCTGTTTGCTGGGTGTGTTGGATGCATCAGTAGTGGGTGTCCCGGTGGTGTTGGCAATAGGGCTGGTCGCCGTAGTGTAGATTGTTGAGGTGGGAAACTGCCTCTACCCGTAGATTGAGTTGGGCATCTTCTTGGTTGAGTCCATTGTGTGTTTCTTCTAATTTGAGTAGCCACCTCAGCGTAAGATCGGCGGGTGTTCTGCCATTTTTGGGGATGTCTTGTGTGCGATGATGTTGTTCTTATTATGCAGTATGTCAGTTTAGCTATTCCAGTCTTGCTCAGGTGAAGACCGTCTCTTGCTAAGAGTTCTCTTGAGTCTGGCTGGTGTAGAGTGGGCTGCGTAAAGTCTGCTTTAGTTGGAATGGTGATGAAGGCCATCTGAGTGTTTCATAGTCTAATCTTTGTATTTAGGATTTTGACTGTTCTATTAATTTTGTCCTTATCATGTTGTTTTGCTCTCGGATGTAGGTTTTTGTTGACTCCGATGATTTCAGTGATGTATAGGTTCAGGGGGTTGAGGTACTCCTTGACACAGTTGGTGGTTTTCTAAAGGTCTCCTTTGATGATTTGAATGATATTGTCTTCATTTATTCTTTGGATATGTAGTTTCTGATGTCGTTGATTCCTTAGACTAGGATGACTGAGTTCAGTTTTGTTGGTCTGTATTTGGGGATTAGGTTATTTGCTTCTTTAAAGTCGAGTCCTCTGTAAGAGTGTACTTGTGTCTGCTCTCCTATGTGGTGTGGTTTGACGTATACTGTTCTTGATGATCCTATGATGAGTATCCATTGTGGTGTGGTGGATGACTTTTGGGTGTAGGATTCGATGGTGATGTGTCATCTTCGGTATGTTGTCTTCTGTTTATGTTATGTGTGCTTGTGGTGGGGTTGTTTTTTTTACTTTAGCGGCGGTTGCTCCTTCATGCTATTGGACCGCGATGTTCGATGGTAGATCCAATGCGAGGTGGCTTCCCTGCTGTTCCTGCCGGCTCCTTATGGACGCTACCTCTTCCCTGAGTGCGTTTATCTCTTCGGTGGAACTTTCTCCACCGGTGGCTTCTCTTTCTTCCACTGCCCCTGAAACTTACAAAGGGTGCAGTCATATTCGTAATCCTCAGGCATATCATCACACATTACATGTGTTGCATTGGGCCCACCTACTCCCGTGCTGTGTATCTATTTTTCTAGCTAATTTCTTTTTTGGCCCCATTATGTTTGTGGATATAATATTCTGTAATGTTTTTCCTAGTCTAGGGCATAGTTCTTACAGTGGCCAGAATTTAGTACTAGTTGAGGTTTCTTAATATAGACTACTATAGTTTCTTTTTGTTTCAATGGTTGTGGATCACGCACTATCCTGTCACAGCTAAGTTATGATTAATAGTTATTTTAGATGATAAAAATACTTCACATATATGGGTATATATGGCTATATTTGGGTATCCTGTAGATTTCCTGACGTCCGTTCGCCGCGAGGTTGTTGACGAATAACCTGATGTAAATAATTTAGTGTAATTAATAATAGTATTAGTAATAATAGTACAGTTCAATCTAGTATGTTAAATCTCTTTCCCGCCAAAATGAACCAAAACAAATATGGCCGCCCCCTTTCGGCATTCACTCTAATCTGATCTGTATACGTTATATAATTATTTGCGCTATATTTGTTGCTTATGTGTTGTTTATATGACAACGATACTTCCGTTTTGATTGATGTGCTTCGTAGATATCTTCACTTGGCTGTATCACGCAGATATATGACATATATACATAATACCAAGGGCTAATAATACCTTATTAGCTTATTAGGTATTATTAGCTCTTGATAATACAGGTGATTGAGCGCTTCGTGTAGCGAAGCTCCTCGTAAACACGTCCGTTCGCCGCCAGTCGCGCTTGTTTCGAAGGTCAGCCAGTCAATCAGAGGAGCAAAAAACTCTGCAATGGCTATAACCGGAGCATATAAAGCAACATGATTTATATGCTCTGCTATAACGTGTAGGAAAAACAAATTACCGCACTGCGTGCACATGCCGCAGTCCTCGCACACCCAGCGCCCCGTGGGGATGTTGCGAAGGCCGACGCAGAACGTGTGGTAGCCGCGGTCGCACATGTCGCAGAACATCATCTTGTCCTGGCGGATAGACGGCGTAGAGTGAGCGTGAGGCGGTCGGTGGAGAGAGATACGAAGGAGACGACACGTATTCATACGTTCCTGCGGACGCGGACAGGGCACTCACACGCGTACGCACGCGAGCATCCACGCATTTGAAACATCAGAATAAAAAATATTTTGCATGTATTTGTATATATAATATTTATTTATTTTCATTTTATTATTGGAACGGCTTAAGTGTCATTACATCCATGCTCACGCTCACGCGCTCACTCACAGGTACCGTGCGCGTTGAGTGGCGCCACCGTCGTTGTAGTCAAACTGTAGTCGTTAGTTTTAAAACATTTTTTAATAATAATTCTAATGGTGATTGAACCATGAAACTTTTTCTGTAGCGTAATTATAACCTAAATTAGCTGAAAATAACCCTAGAACCTAGAGTAAACTCTCCCTTTAAGACAACATGAAGACAATCTGATAAGTTGCGCAAAACCACTTTCCAGCCAAGGGCTACAGACCGAGGGTGTTTCTTATTTATTTATTTAAAAGCAAAGAGATTGTAATATCTTATAAACGNTATTCGGTAATAAATAGACAACCATGCACCGAGTAACTGAAATTCGTGCGTGAATCACGGCTGGTGAGGAGTAATACCGTGCGTGTCCGATAACAACTCTCGCAATAATACTCCGTAACGCTTACAGAGACAGCTAGTATTTACTCTAGATGTACAAATGTGCATCAGACTACTCTGTAGCCGAGACTGCGAATTAAAGAGGGCGGATCAATGGTTGTCTACTTAACTCCGGCGTAACAATTCCAGGTCGTCAGGGTTAAGGTCGCCATGGTTACACGCGGGCCGGTTTCCATGGCGGAGCGTCAGGTACCACTGGCGCCCGCTTCAGGACGATGTCGGTTGGTCAGGTTCCAACTAGTAGGTTTCAGCAGGTGAGCTAGTACAACTTCTTAGGCGGTCCTTCTTTTCGCAGCAGGCACTGCGACAGGCCTGTGGTGGAGTGAAGGGCGAGTAGGGAACACCGCGCGGCACTTCTCCGTATAGGCAGTGTATAAGGATTAGTAGTTAGGATCGAGATAGGATAAATATATATGTATATATATATATATATATATCTTGAAATGCAGTATATCGATAAATAACTACCTGATCAGCTATGTAATCATTTAACATTCATCAACTATGCAAAACTTGACGTGTTTCTAGGTGAGGCAGATCATCGGTGGCCCACAGAGAAGAGTCGTTCCGGCCATCACCCAGACCGGCGTATTCCGGACCGGATTCGGGGACGAATTCAACATCAACACGTTCGGAACGCTTCGAGCGGGCAACTACGGAGTTCCGACCTTCGCCGGACCGTACGTGGACATCGGTCAGTTTGACTTCGTCGCCCGCAAGGAGGCGGCCTTTGCCTCCGCTCCAGGAGACTCCCGCGTGAAGGAGGGAGCTCTCCAGCAAGTTCCCGTCGGCAGACGATACAAGTCCGGATTCGCCCGCCAGGTGGAGAGCTCGGCGGCCGACAGGGTCGGAAGCGGAAGCGGCGAGACGACGGTAGAGGTCGTTGCGTCGCAGAAGGCTGACCAGGCGCTAGAGCAGACTTTCAAGCAAGAAGGCACCGACGAGGGTTCAGTGAAAGAAGGCGCCACCTACGGCTTTGAGCAGGACGACCAGATTCCCTTCCAGCCGGTGGAGATCGAAGCTGTACCAGTGCACGCCGGTCCCGCCCATGAAGCCGTCGCCGACATAGCAGCGAGCGCTGCCAAGGCAGGGTACGCGTAATCCGTAGACTACGACGGAAAGACCATCATGTTGTACGCCATTAAGATGTCCTACTTTCAGGGTGGCCGCGCTGGCGTCGGTCAAGCTGTCGCTAGTGCTGCTCAGGCGGGCCGTACTGCCGCTGCTGCCGTGCACGCGGGCAGCGCGGGATTCCGTGTTAGCAACGCAGCACGCTTCTGAGGGGGATGACGGCCCCGGCGGAGCTCGGCACTATAACGTATCCTCTTTTTATCAGCTCAGCAGATTCGTGATGGCAGCAGGCGGCGCAGAAGGCGGCGACGCAGCAGGCCAGCAGGAACGATACCAGCAGCTTCATGCTGAAAACGAAGCCAAGAATCTACTGAATATATATATTTATCTCTTACTTTCTCGCTCTCTCTCTCTCGCTATATATATATATATATANTATAGCGAGAGAGAGAGAGAGCGAGAAAGTAAGAGATAAATATATATATTCAGTATATTCTTGGCTTCGTTTTCAGCATGAAGCTGCTGGTATCGTTCCTGCTGGCGTGCTGCGTCGCCGCCTGCTGCGCCGCCTGCTGCGCCGCCTGCTGCCATCACGAATCTGCTGAGTTGATAAAAAGAGGATACGTTATAGTGCCGAGCTCCGCCGGGGCCGTCATCCCCCTCAGAGGCTACAACGGAGAGACCATGTACTACGCCATTAAGATTTCCTACTTTCAGGGTGGCCGCGCTGGCGTCGGTCAAGCTGTCGCTAGCGCTGCTCAGGCGGGCCGTACTGCCGCTGCTGCCGTGCACGCGGGCAGCGCGGGATTCCGTGTTAGCAACGCAGCACGCGCCGGTTTCCATGGCGGAGCGTCAGGTACCACTGGCGCCCGCTTCAGGACGATGTCGGTTGGTCAGGTTCCAACTACTAGGTTTCAGCAGGTGAGCTAGTACGACTTCTTAGGTGGTCCTTCTCTTCGCAGCAGGCACTGCGACAGGCCTGTGGTGGAGTGAAGGGCGAGTAGGGAACACCGCGCGGCACTTCTCCGTATAGGCAGTGTATAAGGATTAGTAGTTAGGATCGAGATAGGATAAATATATATGTATATCTTGAAATGCAGTGTATCGATAAATAACTACATGATCAGCTATGTAATCATTTAACATTCATCAACTATGCAAAACTTGACGTGTTTCTAGGTGAGGCAGATCATCGGTGGCCCACAGAGAAGAGTCGTTCCGGCCGTCGCCCAGACCGACGTATTCCGGACCGGATTTGGGGACGAATTCAACATCAACACGTTTGGAACGCTTCGAGCGGGCAACTTCGGAGTTCCGACCTTCGCCGGACCGTACGTGGACATCGGTCAGTTTGACTTCGCCGCCCGCAAGGAGGCTGCCTTTGCCTCCGCTCCAGGAGACTCCCGCGTAAAGGAGGGAGCTCTCCAGCAAGCTCCCGTCGGCAGACGATACAAGTCCGGATTCGCCCGCCAGGTGGAGAGCTCGGCGGCCGACAGGGCCGGAAGCGGACGCGGCGAGACGACGGTAGAGGTCGCTGCGTCGCAGAAGGCTGACCAGGCGCTGGAGCAGACTTTCAAGCAAGAGGGCACCGGCGAGGGTTCCGTGAAAGAAGGCGCCACCTACGGCTTTGAGCAGGACGACCAGATTCCCTTCCAGCCGGTGGAGATCGAAGCTGTACCAGTGCACGCCGGGCCCGCTCATGAAGCCGTCGCCGACATAGCAGCGAGCGCTGCCAAGGCAGGGTACGCGTAATCCGTACCGCGTGTAACCATGGCGACCTTAACCCTGACGACCTGGAATTGTTACGCCGGAGTTAAGTAGACAACCATTGATCCGCCCTCTTTAATTCGCAGTCTCGGCTACAGAGTAGTCTAATGCACATTTGTACATCTAGAGTAAATACTAGCTGTCTCTGTAAGCGTTAAGGAGTCTTATTGCGAGAGTTGTTATCGGACACGCGCGGTATTACTCCTCACCAGCCGTGATTCACGCATGAATTTCAGTTACTCGGGGCATCGTTGTCTATTTATTACCGAATAGGAATGACGTGTACCGATGCGTCATTTTCGTAAAAAATAATTACGACTATAAAAAAAGCGAGTGTTAGATCAAAGAAACCGACCAAGTTGAAATTGTATACACGGCTCATAGCCGAAGCAATATCC